TCTACAAGACAAGAAACAATAACTTTAAATGATAAGGATACCATCTTACTGGACATCAGGAATAATTTCCAAATGGTAATAGTTGTTCAATGGTGGAACAAATTACCTTGAGAGGTGGTGACTCTCCTTTACTGGAAGTATTTGTCAGGATGCTGTAGTAGTGAATTTCTTTATTAGATCATGGATGGACTAGATGATTTCCATCTTTCAGCCCTTATATTCTGTGATTTTATGATAAATTACAAGTAAATCCTTTTAGGTAAGTAATTCTTATTTAACAGGGCTCACCATGTTACTTTGATGTTTTATCAATATATCACTTTACATTTTGAGTCTTGTCTTGTGTTCCATTCCCTTTTTCTTCATTGTCCCTTCTCATGACACTGAATAACAATATGCTTTCTCAATTCTTTATGCTCCTGAAATACTTATCATTATCGGGGTCATGACTGTTCTCACATATTTTGAAATGCTTGTTTTACAGGAGTGTTCAGTTGTTTTAACCTTACTCATCAGAGCTTAATTAACTAATCTGTAAAAATGGTAAGATTACCCTAAGATTAAGCTTTCTGGGCCAAAAGGCCAATTATCATGCAAGATACATTATTCACTTGTGAGGGCAAAGTATATCTTGCATGTCCTGATATATGCTTCATTTATCCAATCAGCAATTACAAATTGGTAACATTTTGCTTCTGTCTCTTCCTTGTGTACATGCTTTAATAGTTAATGTTAAAATTAAGCTTTTTTCTATATATAAAAGTAATAGTAGCATCATAGTTATCCATGGCTTCGCTTTCTTATTGTAAGAAAAAATTCCACAGCTTTCTAGTTTTTCCTAAATTAAAGTTTACAGCATCTCTTTATATTGGCAATATTAGCTGTCCTGGAACTGGTTAGAGTTATAATACAGTGAATATGGAGGTCATAAGTTCCCATATTGATTAAAGCACTGTTGATTTAAATATCAACCTGTAATTGTTCTCATGCATATTTTGAAGAGTAAGTTAGAGAGAAATTGTTAGACCAACAGCTTCTTAATAAAAAAAAATTCTACCCCCTTTTTTATTTTGGCCATATTAAAAGGTCTATCTAAAATATTGATGGCAGAATCCTTTTACTGGCATTATTTTATTCACTCTTTCTTGTCTTCAAAATCTGCAACATGTGACAACAGGGCACTGAAAACAACATAAGAGGTATAACTTTCAAATTGTTGTATTCTTGTACTTTACCATTGTTCACGTTTACATAGTCTGCTTAAATGAAGAGACAAGTCTGTTTCTTATGCAACCTTAAGTTTTTAGTTGTGAGGAAGGAACTAATAAGAAAACTACAAAATAGTCCAACCTTTTTTTTTTTTTGCAGTTTTTCCCTTCCCTATACCCATAAATATTCATTCTCAATATCCTGAGGCAGACTCCATCATTCTCAACCAATGGTTTTACAGATAAATAAATTACAAAATAAAGCAAAAAGAAGCAGAAGACAAGAGCAGTTAACACATTTAAATTTATTTGCAGAATCATCAACAGCTATTCTCTTGTCAGAGCATTCAGGATTCTCATTGAATATTTTAATTTATAATTCAGGCAGTGGTTTCTATTAAGTGTTTCTGTTGAAGAATCAGTACATCCCATTAAAAGTAGCTATGTCAATTTTATTTGCCAATCCCAATGGAATTTAAGTTGATATTTTAGCTTTTAAACTATTTTAAAACAATTCTGACAGTAGTTGAAAAGGACTCCTGGGTATTAATTTATTTGTCTAAAGACTAAATGGCTTAAATATTTAAATCTTTAAATTATATTATAGTAGAAATTAAAATGAACAAACCCTTATATTTCCCCTCTGGAAAATGAGTTTAATTTAAAGAAAAACATTCTTATAATATTTTGTGCTGAATTCAAAACTATATCTAGCTTTGTCTTAACTATTATGAGATATTACTTCAAAAGATAATACAATTAACAAAATGTTCAAAAGAATTTATTAGGAATGGTTTTCTTTTATACATAACTAATTATATCCGATTTTATGAAGCTAAACAGGATCAGTCTTTGTCAATGCTATGATGAGAGACCACAAGAAAAGCCTTGAGCTAATTTGGATATATAAAAAAATAAAGGCTATGGCAAATTGCGGGACATTCTAAACAAGAGAAATTGGGGATGGGGAAAAGCAAGAAGGAAAATAATCTGTTACCTGATAAGAATAGATGGGTAGAAATGAGAAGAAAGATGACAGAAAAAGTCACAGGACCAATTGGAGATAAAAGGGTGAATGAAAATGGTGACTGCTTAGAAAACACACAGAAGCAATTACAACTGCATAAAGAATTGTTGTTTCTCTCACTACTTAGAGACTTAGTGATCAATATGGAGGTGATAAAAAGTTCTAAATAGGGGATGGCAAACCATTTTTTGATCTTGTTAAGAGTGGTTCTTGCTAAAAAAAAGGCTTAGAAAAAGGAAAGAAGTAAAAGAAATGGGCGTGGAAGTAGAAACAGTACAGGAACAGAAACTATCACCTATGAAAAAATATTAGATGCACAGTGGACCTAAGAAAAGAGGATGCAATGACAAATCATTTCTGTGATGTTGCCAATAAAGCTGTATGAATTTAGTCACCAGCAACTGAGCTCAGTTTGAGGACTTATATCACCTATTATCCATACCCGTGGTGGCGAACCAATTTGAGGACTTATATCACCTATTATCTATACCCAGGTGGCACGCAGAACCCTCTCTGTGGGCACATGCGCCATCGCCCCAGTCCTAGGCCTTCAGCTGGATTTTATAAAACCTTTTTGCTTTAGGCCTCCGCCACCATGTGCAACCCCCCCCCAGCTCAATCAATTTCAAGTTCTTGCGGGGGAAAAAAAAGATCTCGCAAAGTTGGAATTGATTGATTGAACTTTTTAGTCCCACCCAGTCTGCCATTACCACCGCAACCACGCCCATCCAATGAGCCATGCCCATCCAATGGGCCACGCCTACCCGGCACCCGATGATACATAAGTGGGTTTTGGGTTGCAGTTTGGGTACTCAGTCTCTAAAAAGTTCACCATCACTGATCTATACCATTGTATTTTCTTCCCATTCATCCAATTAATTAAGTGGCTGAAAATATTTTGAATTAAATTCTCTGGCTGAATTCTGCATTCAATTAGATCCTATTGCGTTTAAGTCTCAATGAATCCTTCATTGACTAGGACACCTTTTTGTTTCAGAAACACTTTTTGATGTTTCACATCATCATAACTCCAATATACCATCCATTTGCTTATTTAAGAACACATAGTGCTCTATGTTTTCAATGAAATTTTTATAGAGTTCTTTACATGTTTGGCATACCCATTCTAAATGGGTATCTCAGTGGATCCTGCTTCTTACTTTTAATTACATGATGGAGAAAGTCTTAAAAACAGGCAGATTAAAATAGTAAATAATAATAAATTTGGAATATCACATGGCATTAGATTTGAAAACTGTACATAGAATCCACATAGGAAAAAATACTGCTTTCCTGGCCACCAGAAGCCATTTGTTTTCCATTTCGTTTGTGGTATAGTATTGATACAACTGCAGGTAGTTCTCGTTTAATAATTGGGGCTGGCAACTCCATTATTAAGTGATATAGTCATTGCGTGACACATCACAAGACTGCAACAGATTTATGATCTCGCTTTCACTGCAATCATTAAGCAAATCATGCATGGTTATTAAGCAAGACATCATGTCACTGCAACCTGTGATTTTACTACCAATTTCTTCATTAACTCTGCTTGTTGGAAGTCAGATGTGAAGCACACAAATCGTGATCATACAACTACAGCCTGCTGTGATGGTCACAAACACCTGCAAAGTGCCTGAATCTCAATCACTACTGATCATGGAGTCCTGCAACAGTCAAAATGTGAACACCAGTTGTAAAATTGCTTTTTCAGTGCTTCTATAAATTTGAACAGTCACTAAATAAGCAAGTATTCCCTGTATATTCTTTCCAAGTTGCATATATCTCTCTATGTTTTAGCCAGAGACTTATAAACTTATGCAACTAGTTTATTACTTGTACAATACTCACTGTTCTCTCTTCCCTTAGTAATCCCTTCTTTCTATTCTGCTTTGTAAAATAAATAAAATAAAATAAAAAACCTATTTCAACCAGAAAAATTTTTTATTTGTACCCTGCCATTATTATTTTTACAAATAACTCAAGGCAGTGAACATATCCATCACACTGTCCTCCTCCTGTTTTTCCCACAATAACAATCTTGTGAAGTATATAAAGGTGAGACACAATTACTGGTCCAAAGTCACCCAGTTGGATAAGGTGACTTAAAAACCCATTTTCTAGATCAAAATTGAATTATGATTTCTAGGAAAAGCAGAAGGCAGGGGACTTTTTCTAATCAGAATAGTCCTGAGAGTATATGAAGTTGTTTGAATTACTTCTAATTATTTTCTACTAAAATCAGTATGCAGAAAATTCCTTAAAATTAAAAAGAAAAATTTTCATCAGTCATGCCCATTTATATATGCTACATATTATTAATATGTTCAGTTTACTCACAGAATAGTTTGAAATAAAGAAAAGCAGCAGACGCTGTTCACCTTTAGAAATACCAAATTTTCCGGCGTATAAGATGACTTTCTAAAGCATGCAAATCGTCTTCAAAGTCGGGGGTCGTCTTATACACCAAGTCATCTTATACGTCAGAAATTACGGTAGTTTCCGGCGTATAAGACAACTTTCTAAGCACACAAATCGTCTCCGAAGTCGGGGGTCGTCTTATATGCCGTCTTATACGCTGGAAAATACGTTACTAAAAATGGAAAATTGATTCCTAAAATAGAAAGCTACAAAATGGAAAAGGAATTTATTTCTTGGTTCTAATCTCAAATTAAAATTTTAATATTTTAAATGTCAACTGCTACCATAAAAGTGTGTATAAATAAACTTTAGATCTTCTCACTCAGTTGCTGTCCTTCTATCAGGATCTGTCACTGTGAGGGAGATGATGAAAGCCCTCTTATCACACCATGTCGCTGCACAGGGACCCTGCGTTTCGTTCATCAGGCTTGTCTACATCAGTGGATTAAGAGCTCAGACACACGTTGCTGTGAACTCTGCAAGTATGACTTCATCATGGAGACTAAACTTAAACCTCTCCGAAAGGTAAGATGAAAACAATCCAACCAACTGTAATCTGTCATTACTCTTTCTTTTCCATATTATCTGATAGGTAAAATAGCTTTATATGTGTTGATTGGTATTGTGCTATCCGTTTATTAATTATTTTTGTAAAAGAAAGCCAACTGTTACTTCCGGTAAGCTGATACCTTACCGGAGAGCCATGGTGGTGCATTGGTTAGAATGCAATATTACAGGTTGACTCATTGTTCACTGCCAGGAGTTCAATTCTGATCAGCTCAGCCCTCCATCCCTCTAAGGTCGGTAAAATGAGGACCTAGATTGTTGGGGGCAAGATGCTGATTCTGTAAACAGCTTAGAGAGGACTGTAAAGCATGTAAGTTTGTGTATAAAGGTGAAGCGGCATATAAGTCTAAGTGCTATTGCTACTGTAAAATAATTACAAATCTGATCACATTCTATATATAACACATTCATGTTATGCAGAGACTGGATTTCTAGATTGAATGACACTATTGGCTTTTGGGTAATACGTTGGAGGCTACCTACATGGGAAGAAGGAAGGACAGTCTTAAACTAAGTTTCATTTTGTTTAGATTTTAAATATAATTTCCATTTAATACAATAATATGATTACTACTTAGTCATGTATTCAAGCCTTCTTCCCTTCTGTCCCATTAAACTTCACTAGAAGGTCATTATATTCAAACCTTTTGAGGGGAGGAAACACGCAGCCCAAGGACCTCAGATTGTGGACCTGCTATAGTTCTGTGCACTGATAACAGTATTATTTGAATAGCATTGCTGATAGGGTTGCCTAGTAAACATGTTTTAGATATAAACCCCAAACAAGCATTTTATAACTGTGAATCATTCCATGACATATAGGTTTTTGCAGATTTTGCAGGACTTTTAACCACAGCCAAATTTGACAAAATATTTGCTATTATGGGAGGGCTCTTACTGTTTTATTTTATCAAATTCTTTGTTCAGCAATTTGGGAAAAGGAAATGCAAATTCTTTTGTGCATTACAAAACCAAATCATGCATTTATTGGTAATAGAATATATTCAAATCTGTATATATGCCATGATGCATAGAACTGCAGAAGAGCAACAAATTATATTCATAAAAAATAAAAGCAATTATATGAAGAGATATATCCTAATAGTTATTGACATTGGTTTAAAAACATATTTATGATTATAAATATATATAAAAATTATTTAAACACTTCCAAAGACATGGAGGTTTGCCAAACATTTTATCTATATGAGTATTAGAAGCTTTCTCAAATTGTATTTGATATTAAGGAAAAAACTGATAATCTTTGCAAAATACATGCATTGCTTACATCATCAAACCATTATTAAAAAACAGGAAGACTTAGCATATATTGATAGAGGGTGTAATGGATGCTATAATACAATTTAAGTCTATAATAAATACCCAGCACATAAAATTCGTTTTTTTTCTGTGACAATATAGATTACTTTATTATATAATTTTATGTGTATGTAGTTATTTGCTTGCTTGTTTACCTTCTTATCTGCTTATTTAGAACAGTGTTCAAATAACTCTAGTTAAAAATTTGCATTAGATATCTAGAGTATTTGTCTTGGTGAAACTCTAGGATGTTCATTTATAAACTGCATGCTTGGTATTGCAGAGGCTGAATTTGTGGGATTAATAAATTGATAATACTTTTATAATTTTGCATCAGTAACTCCACATGCATTCATAATTGTGACAGTTATATAAGCTGAAATTGAAACCTACATGAACTTCAGATGTTCCCGATTTATTTCACTAATCTTTCTAAATTGATCACTAATCCCATTCAGCCATTTGAGTAAGTCAGATCTATAAACTATTCTGGGCCTTCCTCTTCCATTCGTTTCATAATGTATAAATTTTCTATACTATTGTTTGAATAATACTTCTCTACTGAGAAAAGCTTTAAAATCTGTTCATACAGATATCAACAAAATGTTGCTTTTAGTCAGTGCATTTTTTCTAAAAAAAAAAAAAAAAAAAAAGTGCCGGAACTCTCACACGTCATATAACCTGCCTTGCCTATCCTACAAGGTTCCATCCAAAAAAGGTGCCAGGACTTCCGGTTCTGGATCGCGGTGCCTCTAGCCGTATGAAGAGACTCGTCTCTTTGTCAGCTAGTTTCCCTCCGCCGGTAGACCCTTATGCAGGTTGAAAGTCACCCTGGAGGGAGCGACTACCGCTGAGGAGGCTGTGCTCAGCTGCGGAGGAGCAGCGGCTCCTCCAGCTATCCGAGCTGTCTCTGAGGGCTGACGGAGAAGAAGATCGGCCAGTAAAATGGCCGATTACTCAGCTGCACCAACCGCAAGTCAAAAGAACAACTAAGCATGAAGAACCACCATGGTGAATCCAGTGAGAATCTTTCTCTCGCTATCCTGACTTTTCCTGTAAAGAGTTCCTGATTATTTCTCTTTTCTAAGAAAGCGATAACTATAAAAAATTGATACTACAAATGAAAAAAGATTTTGAGACCTAGGGGAATCATTATTAGGCAGGATTGCGTTGATTAAAATGAATATATTACCAAGATTATTATATTTATTCCAAACAGTCCCGATAAAATTAGATATTTTTTTTGAAGAATTAGACAAAATAATAAACAAATTTATTTGGTTGGGCAAAAAAGCACGGATAAACATGAAAATATTACAAGATAGTAGAAATAGAAGTGGAGATGGGCTCCCAAAATGGGAAATTTACTATCAAGCAGCTGGACTACTCTGGATCAAGGATTGGATAAACCTAGACAATAAAAGGGTTTTAACAATCGAAGGGCATGACTTACAGGCTGGCTGGCATTCCTTTTTATGGGGAAAACATAAGAAAACACACACATACTTTTATCAACATCAGATAAGAGATGTGCTGATTCGGACGTGGGGAAAAGTTAAAAAAAGACACTATAGGAAAATCCCAAACTGGATTTCACCGATGGAGGCAATGATCCACCCTAACACCTTGGATAAAAAAAGATGATCAGATACAAAGAACTATTAGACAACCAAGGAAACCTCAAATCAAGAGAAGAATTAGAACAAGGAATAATCATAGATTGGTGGCCATACTTACAGATCCAATCTAAACATAGTAAGGATATGGAAGAGCACGGAATAAGCCAGATCCCACATCAATTGGATAAAATTTTAACAGGTAAGGAAGGAAATTTTTTTAACAAAAACCTATAAATATCTATTAGAAGTAGATCTGGAGGAAGAAATAGTGAAAGGGCCAGTGATAGCATGGGCACGAAATATAGGCCGAAATATAAAACTGGAAGAATGGGAAAGATTATGGAACATAAACTGTAAACTGACATTGTCATCTGCATATAGGGAAAATCAATACAAAATGTTCTATAGATGGCATTTAATACAGGCGAGATTGGCTAAAATGTACAAAAATATGAATCCGGAATGTTGGAAATGTAAAAATAAGGAAGTAACATTCTATCATATGTGGTGGCTGTGCCCTAAAGCAAAGAGCTATTGGGAACGGATAAGGAACTGGATACAGGAGATAACTAAGGTGCAAATTGAATTCAAACCTGAACTATTTCTTTTGGGTATAATAAATGTAAAGATGGAAAAACAACTCCAACACATCATTATACATATATTAACAGCAGCCCACATAGTATATGCCCAGTGTTGGAAGGGTGAAAACATACCTACAAACTATATGATTATATACAAAATTCTTGAATGTGCGGAAATGAACAAACTTACGCTAGAATTAAAAGACAAGGAGGCAACAGAATTTTATGAAATATAGAACAAATGTTATGATTGGCTAGAACAGAGAAAGAAAAAGACATGATTACTGATGTAAATAAATTATAAATAATATATGTGAGATGTATAACACAGTTTTGTTAAGGGAAAAAATGTATTTTTCATTTTTATTTTTGTTGTATAGTGAAAAAAGGAAAAATAAAAAATTATTTATAAAATAAAAGGATGAAAGTTATCCACATTTTGACTATGATTTAATACTGGAAAAAATATTAGAACTTACAGAAGACTTCAAAACTTACTGGAAACCTTGGAGAAAACCTAAAGATGCTACCTTGGAACCTCACATTGACCCTCCAATAATGAATAAAGTTATGAAGCAAGGAATAATAGAAGTTGAACAGAGTAATCCTGAACAGGCCTCTACACATCAGGACATACAATTCAAAGAGACAGAGACACTATGCTTACAACCCAATTGTGAATCTATACTGGGAGAAAATGTGGAAACCACTGAGCCAACTAATTCTACACAACGTTACCTACAACTGAAGGATAACTTCGATGACCAAGAAGTAACTGTAATTGACTTAGTTCAATTATCAAAAATAACAAAGATTGATATTCAGACACAACCCTCTGGAAAATATAACAAAGCGGACAATTTAATTATAACCATAACATCGAGTAAAAGTCAATATAATACTTAGATGATATTGGCAGAAAGGGAAGTTAATTTTATTCAGTTTGAATTGGTTTGAAATTTTTGTAATCAAATCTTGAGGTTTGATAACCAAAAAGCTTTAATATGGGAACCAACTTGGCATAGAAAGAAAGCTAGAGTCTGGTTTAAATGTGACATAAAATGTTACTTGATGGGTTTAAAAGGCTTTAAAGATTTTGTCTGATTTAGTAACAATGAAGGATGTGAATTTACTGTTATTATAGTTGATAATTATTTGAGGGGGTAAATCTTTTCAGGGGGTAAAAAGACTTTATAGATGTAGATTGATGAAATGATAGAATATATTTTTAAAAATAGAAATTTATTTTTTGGACTTATAGTATTATTTTAAATATGATAATTATGTTGTAATAGAGAGAGAGAGTTTGTTTGATTTAATTATGAATGAAGGCTGGGAATTTCCTGATATTATAGTTGATAAGTATTTGAAGGTGTAAACTTTTTCAAGGGCTTAAAAAGATTTTCTATAGATATAGATTGATGAAATGATAGAA